CATGATTAACATCATCCACAATAAAAATGACTAATCAACCTCTCATAATTACAAAAAAATGAACAAAATGAAAAACTATGATTAGTTGAATGAAGTTTGTACGGTTTGTACAAATTAGGTGGTTTTTATTTGAACGCTCCCCTATATATATGTATCATACTTATGTGGTGCAACTTTAGTGCTATTCCTTATGGCAACCGCATATCCAAATTGCCCTGATTAGGGGTGTAAATGATACAAGACAACTTGCGAGCTACTCAAGATCGACTCGGTCAAAGCTCGGTCAACACTCGACTCGAATTGGCTCGACTCAAACTCGAGCTTGACTCGACATATTAACGAGTCGAGTCGAGCTACTCAATACTTGACTTGCAAAACTCGTGAGATACTTGATTTTTTATATATAATTAGTTTTAAAATATAATCAGGTTTATAATATGATTTATAAAATAAACTATAATAAAAATCTCTTATATTTTTAGATATTGAACAAAATTGTGCATTTTTTAATTATAAAAACTAAGCAATTATTTTTCTTATTAAAATCATAACTAAAAAAAGACAAACTAAACTACAGAAGTGTTAGTGAACTTGTCCCACATTGGAAGATAGATAGTAAATGAAGGGTGAAGAGGTGTTATAAAAAGAGAGGGTATGAATGGAGTTTATAACTTTGTCTTTTTGATGATGAAGTTTGAGGTGCATCTCTTTAGTTTATAAAATTTAAGAGAACACCTATAAGTTTATAATTTATAAGAGAAGACCCTAAAATTTTATGAATTTCAACGGATGAGCTTGGTTTGAGTTTGATTCGAGTTTGATTCGAGCTTCAAACGAGTTCGTGCTTGAGTTTAAAAAATTGCAATCAAGGTCGAGTCGAGTTTAGTTTTTAACTACTCGTGAATTTTCGAGTCGAGTTCGAGCTTGAGAAATAGTTATCGAGTTCGAGCTTGAGAAATAGTTATCGAATTCGAGTCGAGTATACCAATACTCGAGCTCGACTCACATCATTTACACCCCTAGCTCTGATGACTTGACATATTGAGTTAGTTCCATCCTTAAAGTATCATTTATTTATTCATCAAGCACAAGTCGGTCAATTGCCTCATATAGTCCCGTCTTAATGTATCTATTATTCTCAACTTATGAATCTTCTGCATAATAGATAGCTGGTTGAGGTAATATCCGATTACAAATGTACTAAAATTTAATACCAATATTTGTATTAACTTTAAAATTAAATAAAACATAACAATGTTTATAAATTATTCCTACATGCAAAGGATGATGAAGTTGGTCACTCCATCGTGCTTGAATCATAGACCACATTCTAGTGATCAATTTCTTATGAGTAGTGCCGGTCATTTTCTTCTTAATTTGATCTTTTGCTCTTTCCATAGCATCGTATATATAACCCATACATGGCTTCTCCGTGTCAGCCAACCGAACATCACCAATGGTGCCAATACCTAACAAGCTAGACAAATATTGTCCCAAAACTCTTGCTTAACTATTATTCTTTCAATTCTTTTTCCAATGGCTTTCTTGGCGAAGTAACTCTTCCTCCATTGTTCAGAAACAAATAATGATGCTGGTTCTCAATAATGCTTTGAATGGTGTAGAATTGTGTTGAAAATCTTGTAACATAAGACCTATGTAGTTCCCTATTTTTAGTGAGCCTCCACATCATATTCAAAATCCTTCCGTGGTTATAAACATAATAGTGCATTACTCTTCTTCCAATGCGAACAAAAGGAATCCACAAACTTGTTTGTATCCTCGATTACATCCTTCAACAAAGTGACACAATGTTGTGATAACTCGGAGTTGGCATGCCTACCAATGATAGGAATAAAGTTGGTAATTACCTCTTCCTTAATCTTTGAGAACTATATTCAAAATTTGAAATGGTAATTACCTCTTCCATACTCTCCAACTGCATTTATAAACTTTTGAAAGATCTCGTCGTGCACGACATTGAAGGGAAACCCAACCGAATATGCCCAAACCGTAAACACTTTCCAAGCGGCCATCTTTAACTTTTCTTTGATTGGGTTATTTCTATCCAAAGTGGTTTGTTTTATCTTTCCATAGTTGGGCTTCAACATCGCATCAAGAGGACCGCGAACATCACCAGCGACCTTTCGTTTCAAACTACGAGGTAGCTTTTCGGCTTGTGCTCTTCTTCCTTCAATAACTTCTATTTCATCTTCTTCTTGCCCCTCATCATCATCATCACCATCATCTTCACCGGATTCAACCGCATATGTGAGAATATGTGGAGCCTCAGATTAATCTCCAAAAGAGCCTTTGAGGAGAGACGGGAGGTTCCAACATACATAGAGGGGAATTTGGCCAAGTCTAGGCGATGTGGGACTCTAACAACATATTGTCAAAGAATTTCTACTCTTCTATTTCTTTCTTTCTTTTTCTTATCCTTTTCTTTCATCGATGCACAAACTCTTTTTTTGATGTCATTACTCACATTAGGACAACCAACCACATTACCTCTGGTTTGAGTAAGATGTTCTTTCAATCCAGTGATCCCTCCACTTACTTTTTTATCGCACAAAGTACACCATACATTATTTTTTCTGATTGGATCTTTCCATACCCCCATTCTTAAGCAATATCACTGTTGATGCATTTTGTACCTACATCTGATGAAGTAGTAGTAGTATTTGGAGTCACAGATGCCCTTGAAGATTGACCCCCTTCTCTACTTCCCATTAGTTCCGTTAGCTAAGCCCTAACAACAAAAATAAAAATAATGGTATATTGGTATTGGTAACTAACAGACAGAGGCTCACTGATCAACAATTAAAAAAAATTCATCTGCTATACTCCGGTTAAGAAATTTGTCAAATTGCATAACCATAGGATTCACCGATCAACAGTGGTCTCTCTGAGGTGAACCGTGAATGTAGATAAAATACAACAAAAGATGAACCTGCTATTACCTGGAGGCTGGAGCAGAAGGGACTGCCTCAAGTAAAAATAAAACAGAGGGATTGTTGTGGGTTGGGGGTGAGGCTGGAGGAGTAAGGCTGGAGCAGAAGCTGTTGAGGATCTGGAGTGCCAAACTGTCGATGAAGAAGAAGGTGGAGTGGAGGGCTGTCGTCGACTCGACTGAGGCTGGAAAAAAGGTTGAACTTGGTTTGGCTGACTATCGTGGATGATATTGGAAAGAAATTGAAAACCTAACCTTCTTAGTTTCTAAACCGCATGTTGATAAAGTGGTAATGTTAATGGATTAAAATCTTAGTAAGGGCCCAAATCTAATTAGAAGCCTAGGTCCAAATAAAAGCCCAAAAAAAAGGAAAAATAACAGCATAGTTCAAAAGAGGCCCAAGCTAGAATTTCGGTATTGTGGCCCGCAATTTCACTTCGAATATCGGTGAATTGCGCTGCTAATATCGGAACCGCAATTTTCACTGATCTTTGACCACTGCTATTTTGCTTTAGTCCGGTATCCGCTATTGCGGCGCTATAAGCATAGATTTGCAATACTTACTGCAGCTATGTTATCACAAAGAAGCTTCATGGTTCCTTCAATGGTCAATCCACAATTCATTACAGCCATACTAACTCACATACGCCATTGCACATAGTTCAAAACTCACCTCTTCATTACTTCTTGTGTAAGCAGTTATGGTGGTCCTAAACTGGATCATGGTCAGGACCGTGTTTTGATATAGCGGTTGTCGTGGTGGTAAAGGGTGGTATAGCGGAAAACAAGTAGCAGTTCATGAAATAAATAAATTTGTATACACACACATATACTTAATTATATTTATATATGTAATACACATCTAATACTAACTTCTCTATGCGTATTTAGACAATCGTCTTATACACATCTTATGTAAGCTTGTGCGTTTAATATTGCCAAATATGATCACAAATACAGTGGTCAGTGGATAAAAAACCCAAATATGTGATCTGGCAGGTCTTTTAGTGGAACACAAATACTGGGATCAGTGGATAAAAAAAATTCATAAACGTAAGCTAGTATATATTTAGTGGAGCCAACATAGACCTTAGAAACATAGCAATCATTCGTAAAAGAGTTGTATGAAGAGAAAGTTGTTAGGGAGGTGTTGTTCTGTCAAAATTGACATGGCTGCCGTAGTTTAGATATTGTGAGCTAATGAAATAGAGCTGGGAAGGAGTCGTGTTTATGTTTTCTACTTCATTTCCATGTTTGTGTAATTGATTTTTTCTGGCTTCATTTCATGACTGATAATAACTTGTTCGATTTTGGGAGAAGAAATATAAATAACTATCTAAAAATTAAAACACACTAGCAGGTAATGCTATATCCTGCTGCTTCCAAGTTAAATAAGGTTTTTTTTGCTCAAAGTGTATGTATTAGGGAATTTCTTATTGTAAATAATTCAAAAATCACCATTAATGTATTTTCAACAAGAATTGAACTTCAGTTTAAGATTATGTTCAAACGATTTACGCATGTAAATTGTGATGTGTTATATGTGCAACTTACTGTAAATACATCCTAAGCGAATCATTTAATGACTGGAACATATATGTCATGAGTTTGGAACCATATACATGTTTGTAGAAATGGTTCAATATTGTATATAAGTTATTCCACAAATTCTGTTGATCGCCTCACTTGTTTGCTAAAAGAATGGATGGAAAATAGGAGGGATACAAAAATAACTTTGTTTTCAATCTGATGAAGGAAAAGAAAGATTTGTAATTGATTTGCCATTGCTCCTTAAAAATATTGTAGGTTTGTGGCAGACTATCAGAAAAATTTGGAAAGCATGGTTTAATCAAAATCAAGCCAGCTGTTAGAAGCCTTGCTACACCATTTAGAATGAATGAGGGAATGGATGAAGAGAAAGCTCCAAAAAAGAAGCCTGAGCCAGTGGACGGTCCTCTGCTAACTGAACGTGACAAAATCAAGCTTGAAAGGAGGAAGAGGAAGGATGAGCGCCAAAGAGAGGTAAGTTTCCAGTTTCCACAAAAGCTATTAGTACTGGATGCCAGTGCATGTCCTTTTTGGTTCTTTATGAACTAGTTAGACCCTACCCTATTCAACTATCCTGGTATAATTAGTATGGAAAATATTTTGCTTATGAATTTAACCTGTTGAAGCTAATGTGTGACAAATCAATTGGGTCAACATGGTCACTCCATACAGCTGTTCTCTATCCGGACAAATAGAGATTAAATTCTTGCAAATGTTGGTATAATACGAGCATGGTTAATTTTATTTTTTGTGTTCTTATGTATAATTCTTGATTGATCAGGTGCAATACCAGATACATTTAGCAGAAATGGAAGCAGCAAAAGCTGGAATGCCTGTTGTATCTGTAAATCATGACAATAGTGCTGAAGGATCTACAATTAGGGATATACATATGGAGAACTTTAATGTGTCTATTGGTGGACGTGAGCTTATTGTTGATTGTACTGTAACACTATCTTTCGGGCGACACTATGGTGAGTCTGATTTTTATTGAAGGACAACCCTTCATCTATTGCACCCATTTCTTATACTGCCAACAACTGCTAACTGTGCTGATGGTTGGGTCCAGACACTACTAACAAATGCTGTTTGACATAATTCTATATTATGGATGTTGGAGGTCTTTCAACTATTACTTTTATCAAATTGATATGCATGCCATGATTTTCATCTAGGAGTTATGCTAAAAGTTTTCATCCTCCGCAACAGCTTTGTCATCTAGTCAATGACTTTTTGTGGATGTGGAATCTGTCACTAAATAAGTGGGGAAAAAAGAAATTACTGTGTTGGCGCTTAGAACACATTCTGAGTTCATAGGGGTTAAATTACTCTCTACATTTTGATTGGAAGGAAAATCTCATACTAGAAGGGGATAAGGGAATTTGTGCAACACTCTTCACAGAAGGTTGAGTTGGAACTTTCTCTATCCATAACGATGAGATGGTTCTCCGAGAATAATGGTCACTTAATTGATGTGAACGTATTAGTTCTCAATGAAGAATGTGTTCTTAATGAAGAATATTTTATCCAGGTCTATTCTTTTCTGATGGTATCAGCACTTCTATCAAGTGTTATGTTGTATGTATGCTTTTTGTGTATGCGTATATATGTATTGGTGATTTTTGTTGTTCAATAAGCATCTACCAAGAAGTATTCCTTTCTGTCTGGTTAGCATTGATATCTTTTCCGAGATAACATCATGATGTGCTACATTTTTTACAGGCCTTGTTGGCAGGAATGGTACAGGGAAAACAACTTTCCTAAGGTATATGGCTATGCATGCTATTGAAGGTATTCCTAAAAACTGTCAGATATTGCATGTGGAGCAGGAAGTTGTTGGTGATGATACATCAGCGTTACAATGTGTCCTTAATTCGGATGTTGAGAGAGCACATCTTTTGGAAGAAGAAGCCCGCATACTAAAATTACAGGTTGGGTTTGCCTTTGGTTTTGTTCACTTGTGTTCTTTTTTGAACAGGAGTGTGTGTGTATGCACATGGACTAACATGCCATTTCTGTTTCCCAAACATGAAATTTTATGATAACTCTAGAGAGATTTGGAGTTGGAAGGAAAGGACCCGAATGGGATAAATGATGATGGAATTGCACAGAAGCTTGAAATCATATACAAAAGGCTAGAGTTCATTGATGCATATTCCGCAGAGTCTCGTGCAGCTTCTATTCTTGCGGTCAGTCTCTACACCCTGTGATTTAGCAATTATTTTAAGTTACAAGACTTGACAGTGTATGATCTCAGATTCAAGCTCTAGAGTCTAGATCTTTTAGCATCTCTTCATTGATCATATGATTAGAGCTCTATTATGTTAAATAGAATATTAACCAGCTAAAGATGGGTGTGTTTCTGTATTGCCCGGTCGGTGCATAAATCGTCACTTATGTTGAGTTTTGTTGTGATCTGAAGAGAATATTTAGAGCTGAGTTTTACCTTGAGTCATTTTTGAATTCTTTGTTGTAAGATATCATCTTCATGTTTCTTTGCTGACTTGCTGAAACTATCATGTTTCACTAACTATGAGAGTTTTAGGGTCTCAGTTTCACACCAGAAATGCAGAAGAGGCCAACAAGAGCCTTTTCTGGAGGATGGAGAATGAGAATAGCTCTTGCTCGTGCACTTTTCATTGAGCCTGATCTGTTACTACTTGATGAACCTACGGTACTTCACAGGCATTTCCTTTCATAATTTGGTTTTTTAGGCTGTAAAATAAAATAACAAAATGGGAGTTATTTGAACCTCAGAAGTGAGTGCTGACTAGCCTCCAACATCTTCTTTTGTGCAGAATCATCTTGATCTTCATGCAGTGCTGTGGCTGGAAGCATACCTAACTAAATGGCCAAAAACATTTATTGTTGTTTCTCATGCTAGGGAATTCTTGAACACGGTAACGGTTTCTTGGCCCAATATGCTTGTCGAACTTCATATTGCATTATTTTGTAATTCTTTTTGCTATATCTCTTGCTTGTTTTGTGTTGCAGGTAGTCACAGATATTTTGTATCTTCAAGGGCAAAAGCTGACTGCATTCAAAGGAGACTATGACACATTTGAGAGGACAAGAGCTGAACTTCTTAAAAACCAACAGAAAGCATTTGAATCAAATGAACGTTCGAGGGAACATATGCAGGTTCTGATTGTGCTATATTACTCCAACGAACCTCTTAGTTCCTTACAATGACTGTAGAACAAAGATGGTGTTCCTTCCTGTTATACTTCATTATATATATTACACACACACACACACATATATATATATATATATATAATATATATATAGATAGATAGATAACTGTGCACCAGATAGCCAGGGGGACAACTTTTTTTCATTCAGAATTGATTAAAAAGATGAATGGAGAAAACGATGCAGATTATATCATTACAAACCATATTATGTTTTAACTTTAATAAACAGCAGCTGAAGATGGAGTTGCTTTGGCCTTATGGTATTGCACATTAATATAAGACATTATCTAATACAGTAAAGATGAGCAAGAGCTGGTTAAATTGTGATAGGTTGGTATCCTAGTTAAGCACATGGTAGATTTTTTATGGTAAAGATGCTAAAAGATGCACTTATGACAATTCACATTGAGCAATAGATGCTGCAAACATGAGCTTGACTTGGCACTTTTAACTCACGAGTCTGTTAGGCTTAGGACAAGCCTAGCAGTTCTGTATATATCTGTTGTTTTGGACTCTACCACAATTGAGTTATCAAGATTACAGACTTTTTCATTTTAACAAAATTCAGAGTCCCCCTCTCCCAACAAAAAGGAAAAAGGAAAAAAAGTATTTTTAAGAAAGGTACAACCATGCTACATATTCTAAGTTGGTTTTACCTCTTAATTTGACATGTTATAGAGGGAAACCATAGATTCACAGGTAGTTACTGSGTTGTGCATTTGTGTTTTGCTGATTGAAAAAATAGTAAGCTCAATGTCTTGAGTTTTCATATCTGAGTATATTTAGTTGATGGTATGGCACGGCTGTTACTTTTTGGAAGAATATGTGAACATACTCTTTCTATGGTGTTTTTATATGGAACCAACACTGATTATCTTCTATTTTTGCAGTCTTTCATTGATAAATTTCGATACAATGCGAAACGTGCATCTCTTGTTCAATCTAGAATCAAGGTAGAGTTTTATATAAATTACTGTACCTCTTAATATCAATAGCCAGCCTTTCCGTTGTAATTTTGCTTTTTTTTATGTTCACTAATTGCCAGGCGCTGGAACGTCTAGGACATGTTGATGAAGTTGTGAATGATCCAGAGTGTGTACCACCACTGCCTCTTTGATATAATTATGTTCGCTGATGTATGCATGTTCTAATATATGCATCCTGTTTGATTATGTCATGGCTATTCTCACTTGTTATCTGTTATTAATTATTGTTATGCAGTTACAAGTTTGACTTTCCTACACCAGATGATAGACCTGGCCCACCTATAATAAGCTTCAGGTTTGTCGTTAGAAAATTGTTGTTTTAGCTTTGCATGCTTTGTCATTTCAATCTTACTTAACTGGTTAATCATTGAGGAACAATGTGCCTTTTTGTTCCTTATCAATTGCTTATACATGGGTTTCTAAGTAAAGGCTTCCAAGCAACTAGTGTCTGAAGTAGGCTTATTGTCATCTTTATATTAAAAGGTTAATGTGTAGCAGCTTAGATATGTCTCATTTAAGTTCTAACTATAAGCTCTTGATTTTTCAATTGCAATCACAGTGATGCTTCATTTGGCTATCCCGGAGGCCCAATACTGTTCAGGAATTTGAATTTTGGGATAGATTTGGACAGCCGTGTAGCAAGTAAGGATAATGCTATGAAGTTTTTACTTTATAATTGTGTGCATATCATCCAATTTCTTGTAAGGACCTTAACTTGTAATCCTTCCCCCACCCCTTCCCCTCACCCCACCCCACCCCACCCCACCAATTGTATGTGCATGTATATATATGTGTGTGTATGCTTGTTTGTATATATGTATTATGTTATGTATGTATATGCATAAGTAATAATATGTGTGTGTATGCATACGCATGTGTATTTGCATATGTAGGTGTGTATACGTGTGATCTGTGTGTGCCTGTGCTTGTGTATGTATATATATTATGTGTGTATGTATTCTTATTTTCATATGTTTAGATGCTTATATTATATTTTGATTTGATATTTATAACTAGTAGTGCATCCACTAATTGCAAGGACAATGAGAACATCATGTCACATCATGGTTCAATCAAGTATCAAGACTTTTTTAATTTAAATATACATGTGGCTCTCTTTCGAAGGATGTATGTATTAGTGCTCTAGAGTTCCATCACCATATGTTTGAAGAGCTAAAGTTTGTGCCTTAAATCGTAAAAAATCTTTATGTGTTTCATATGTAACTATATCTTTATATGATCTGATGGCAGTATCAAATATCATTTAATCTATTATAGGCTTGATTTTGCATTGCATATGCTTCAGTTTCTAACTATGGCATTTTAAATTAATTTTCAGTGGTAGGCCCCAATGGTATTGGTAAATCCACTATACTTAAGTTGATTTCAGGGGATCTTCAACCAAGCTCAGGAACAGTTTTTCGTTCGGCTAAGGTAAATATAAGACAATTATCTATAGAATTTTGAGTACTGACAATGCTATGGCCAGTTCTTTTTGTTTGTAGGTTGTAGTCTTTTGTTAGCCTGGACTATAGTACAGTTTGAAACTTCCATGGCTGTTTCAATTTTCTTTTCTTGGCCTAGTCTTTAGTGTGATTATAAGTTTGTTTACTTTTATAAATGATCACTTAATGTGTTTGGGATGATTATATATGCCTGACTTAATGAAAAAATCGAGACAATTACCTATCTAGTTTGTTAATGCTGATGCATAATGAGTCTACCGGTATATTGTTAGAACGTAGAACCATGTCAATACTGTAGTCAGAAAGACAAATAGCTAACATTGATGGTGATAACCGGGGACAGATGTTTGTGATATAAGTGGAAATTTTTTGCATAATAAAGAAGTAAATGGTGAGATGTTTAAATAGCTAACAACAAAAATTTGCAACTCAGTTCACAAAGACATACTAGGCTACCATGTTAGTTCTTCGATTACCAATTCTCAGTTGGCTGTACATGTATTCATCTGATTCAATGCGAATTCCCTCTGCAGGTTCGTATTGCTGTATTCAGTCAACATCACGTTGATGGGCTTGACCTAACCTCCAATCCACTTCTATATATGATGCGCTGCTTCCCAGTGAGTTCCTTTCTGTCAACTTCTGTTTTTCTTTTTGTTTCTTTCTTCATTATGTTTTATGTTAGGCTTTTCAGTTAAATGTTTTGTTTGGTTTTTCACTGATATGCTTCAAGTTCATATATTTTTGTCAATTTCTGTTGCTACAGATCACAATCATCTAGATCTTCTCCTGTATGGAGTTTATTAACTATTTTTTTAAATGCTTACATGATTTGTCATAACTGTAATTAAGTAGCCTTTTTTATGCTGTGTTATTAGCTGGAAGACAGCCCACCAAAAATAAAGAATTAAGATTCATGCGTTTAAGCAAAGCCATCAACCAGATATTTTAGAATATGTACTGATAGACGCTGATTTGATTCTCCTCAACAGTTATAATTGATATACCTCTGTGGGGAAATTTCCTGGTCATATCTTTTTTTTTTTGTTTTTAACAAGACACGGTTGAATTCCAACCAACTAATTGCTTAATTTCTTAATATATATATTTGACAACCATCCACAGGGTGTGCCTGAACAAAAACTTAGAGGCCACTTAGGTTCTTTTGGTGTAACTGGGAATCTGGCTCTTCAACCAATGTACACCTTGTCTGGTATGTTTGTTATTTTATACTTTTCCTTTATTTAGTGCTAAATTCTCTCGTGGTTGTGTTGTAGCATGTTCTCCTTGCTTTATCTTAAAAACTTTGGATTTGTGGTGTTAGAACCCCTTTATAACACACAGCTTAGGACTCACTGTTGTTAGTGGTGTCTCAGGTGGTCAGAAAAGCAGGGTTGCATTTGCAAAGATAACCTTTAAAAAACCTCACATCATATTGCTCGATGAGCCGTCAAATCATCTTGTAAGTCTATCATTGCTTTCATATTATTCTATACTGTATGCAAACACTTTAGAACGGTCTATGGTTGTCAACGAGTTGACTATTCTTTTGTCGTACGACCATTTTCAACTCATTCAGATTAATGCCTGCTGAGGTTACAAGGGGTTCTACAATGGGTGACTTTATGCATATGTTAGCATAAAGTGAGATATCACCCCATCATTGTGTTTGTGGGATGTCACTCTACATTATCATAAATCTTTTTTATTTATTTATGAGCCTGGTGGATCATCAGAATCATTCTGTTTGGAGTATAATTTATTATTTTGTAGCAGAGTAAAAGACCCATGAAAACCAAACCTAAGATGGTGAAACTTTTATGTCCACTCATTTAGTACCGTAGTAATTCACAGGATAATACATGAAATTTGGGATGAACACGGACCTCTAGGTTGAGCAAGGTCAATTTGACTGTTTGGAGGATCTTGGAGCTTGCCGAATATTTTCTCTTGAAAGCTTGAATTTTATACTCCCTCCATTCCTAAAAAGTAGCTCCCTTCAGAATTGTATTCGTCCAAATGAAGAGTCCAATTGCAAACCATTGAGTAGACCATGTTGATATCCTAAATTTACCCTTTATTTGAAGTTGGTTAAAGAGTAATCTTGTTAGTATGTCTGATCTCCGGTAAAAATCTTAAGTTGTCTATAAATTCCTTTTAGATTAAAGTGGCTTTTTATTTATTTTGGGGAGGAAGGGTATTTGGTTTGTGCATAAACCCATCATATAAGCAAACCAAGATGTAATTAGGTAACCTTGAGGGCAGCTCAACTGGTAAGACCTTTGGTTTTCTCCCCAGTGGTCACCAGTTCAAGTCCCTTCAAGGTCTCCGGAGGTTTCCCAGGCTGTTAACTTTAGAGCTCATTGGATTAATCAAGATATGGTCCGGACTCCCATGGTTATAACAAAAGATGTAATTAGGTTTTCACCCCAGCATAACTTTTTTTTGTAGTTACTGTGATGCTGGTTTACAAGTAGAGGTTAGAATACTGTACCGCATGTAATTACCGAGAATTTAACAATATCTATCTTCTGAATGCAGGATTTGGATGCTGTGGAAGCATTAATACAAGGTCTTGTTCTGTTCCAAGGAGGGGTTCTGATGGTAATTACACTCTAATTCACTTTGATGTTTCTATTGTGTGAGTCTTGTATATATACATGGTGCGAGGCGAATGAAGATGCGAGTGTAGTAGGTCCTATTAACTTGATGATAGGAGTGGGACCTACAAAATGAAGAATGAAGGATCAAAGGAGAACGATATATAAACAAATAAGCACTTAAGCTCTCTTTATTAAAATGTGATTATGGATCCCATTTACTTGATTGAGTGTTAAATGAATGAGAACCACAAAATAAAGAAGGGAGAAAAGTAATATAAACAAATAAGAATCGAGCTTTGTTTTGTTCGGCCTTTTAACATTTTCATTTTGTGGATCTCATTTATTCCTTTGGCTTCTTTTTTCGAACTTTTTGGGAAAATTTTCCGTGTCTCACTTTTTACTAGTTGGGGATGATCACAAAAACAACCGTTCTACTCTTTAGGGTAGATCCCAGACAACATTTGTAATTGGGACCGACCACCTGAGCAAAGGAAAACCAGAAGAAATACTTGTGCTGACCAATATATTAATTTGCAGGTAAGTCACGACGAGCATCTGATTTCGGGTAGTGTTGACCAGTTGTGGGCTGTGTCAGATGGCAAGGTAACGCCGTTCAGTGGCACGTTCCAGGATTACAAGAAGAAACTGCAATCTTAGTTAACTTCCAATACTCGATGTGCGAATTCTGTGAGATTACTGTGTTTTTGTATGTTGTCATAGCAACAAGACTTGGATAAATGAAGTGATCAAATGACACATATTTAACTTCATGGGGTTTTTTAAAAGGTGAAGATTGTCATGTTATTTGTTGCAAGCATTGCTTCAAAATCAGCTACCAGATGCTTTTAAAGTGGCTGGAAACTGGAATCATCTTTGTTTCCACCCTCTTGATTTGATATGATTGAAGATGTTGACCCACCCACCCCTGCTCACCACTTCTTACCTTTTATTTTTTCCACTTTTGCCCTTTAAATTCTTATTTGGATAAGTCGTTGCAAGTTTTTCGGTTGTTTTTAGGGCTCTAGAAAGAAAACGAGATCGAATTCTTGATCAAGCAAAATCGGATTTATAAGATGTCAAAAAAAATATAAGCATTCTAATGGACTGCTTTATATGAACAAAAAATAGAACATCATATCTAAAGACGTTAGTAATCAGTTTATAGGACGTTTTTTAACGTCTTAACAAGTTTTTTAGGACACTTTTAATACAAAACGTCCTATTAGTTATTTTATTGGACATTGTGTCATGTAAAAAGATGAGTTTATAGGACACTTGTCAAAAATGTCCTTCAAAATTACTTATGCGACCGCTTTGTATTAAAGGTGTCATAAAAACTTGTTGAGACGGTAAAAAACATCCTATAAACTTATTACAACGTATTTAGATAGCACGTTTTATTTTTTGATTCTATTAAAGCTCTCTTCATAATTTATTAGGATGATAAACTCTACCATTTAAAGTGAAGATCTAAATCATTTTGTTTACATCTTAACTATTTGTGGAAAGTTCACTTATGCCATATTACCAACTAAATTTCTTTGCCCTATTTGATTATATATATATATATATATATGTGTGTGTGTATGTATATGTATATGTGTGAGAGAGTGTATGTATATGTATATGTGTGTGTGTGTGTGAGAGAGAGAGAGGTAATTTAGGGGAAAAGCCTAATTTGTAGGAGATTAACAAACAAAAGTGTTAGGTTTGTGAATATAAAGTACAAAAAATTGTAATCTTGCAAGAGATTATGACCTATTAGTATCAAATTTGGATAATGTTTTTAAATAAAAATAATTGTGATTATATTGAATCTAATCAAATGTCTACATTTTTTAATCAAGGTTACAAGTTCCCGTTAAATCAAAATATTACTTTACGAAAATTAAATGTATAATTTTGACAACGATATATAAAATTAAATAATTTAGTCACAATAAACAAATAAGGAACATAAATTCAACATCACCTAATCCCTTTAATTTTTTAATTATATTTATCTATCTTTATCTTTACTTTCAGTCATTTTTTACAAACATATATATATATATATATATATATATATATATATATATATGAATGTTTTGTTTTGTAAGTTGTGATTATAAGTGTTGTAATTTGATGAAAACTCAACCCTTGATTTGCAATAATAATATGATGATGAGGGATGGTGCCACATAAAAAGAATCACAATGATTGAAGAAGGGAAGAGATGATAGTCTTTTTTGATTCAGATCATGAGATCATGGGTTAGTGGAAATTAGTAATGCCAAGATTCTTCTCTTTCATTTTTATTTTTATTTAACTGATATAATATGACACTGAAATGAAATCCAGTTCCAAATACCATCAAATCCCACAAACCAAAAACACTTTTAAACAATGTTTCAGTTTTCTAAAACAATATAATTTTTATATCTTAAATTGTATAAAAATATAAACAAATGTTCACAATAAATACTTAAGGATCTATATTCTATAGTTCAAAAAAAAATATACATTTAAAAAAAAAAGAATTATAAAAAATGTATTTTTTTTTAAAACACGTCAAGTTTCAGCTATGTCAAGTTTCAATTAGATAATTAATTAACTATTGATTTTTAAATGTGCTTTTTTTAATTTAATTTAATGATTAATTAATGTTGAATGTGTGGTTTAGTCTGAAATAATGGAGTCAAATGTAGTTGGCTACCAAAGGTGTATAAATGAGTGAGAAAGGAAGGCATTAAACAATAGCTTTTGAGATTTCAAAATCCATAAGGTGTGATTAAGTGGGGTTTTGCATCCAAACACAAGACAAAACTTAAGCACATCACTTTATACACAATTACTTTTTTATATCTGTATCTGTATTTGTATCTGTATCTGATTTATTTATTTGTTTAAAATAAATAGTTTAAAGCTCGTTCTCAGTCTTATATTTAAGTTTCTATAATTTATCTGTAAACATATTGTGTTATCCACTTGTACGAAGATTTAAGTGACATAACGTACAATATGTATGCTGTGAAGTCACTGTAACAAAATAGGGCTTATAAGACACTACTGATATTTAAGCGTACTAATAAACGGTTTTATAGGACTTAATTTTTAGAACAAAAATATAAAGTGTATTATCTAAATGCGTTGTAAAAAGTTGATGGGACGTTTTCGAGCGTCATAACAAGTTTTTAGTACACTTTTAATACAAAGTATCTCATCACCAATTTTATAGGACATTTTTTAGAAAGTGTCCTATAAACTCATCTTTTTATATGACATTTTTTCAAATAGTGTCTTATAAGATTATTGATAGAAGATTTTGTATTAAAAATGTACTAAAAAACTTGTTTAAACGTCTAAAAACATCTTATAAACAACCTAGTTAATCTTATGGTTGGCACCCAGGCACAACCTAGTTAGTCATATAGTTGGAACCCATGCACAACCCAATTAATCATAACACAGTTAAAGATATCATGTTTGAACATACCAACAAGGTATGATATCGAAGTAATGATCATTTGATAACATAGTCTGAGTTCGGTTTGAGTTTTGAGGTTGCAGGTCGAAAACAAGGGAGGAAAAGGGACGAAATAGTGGTTGGTGCGACCTAACCCGCAACCGAAGTCACGCGGATAGTCACACAACTTACTATGGTGGGTATTTCTCATTTTCCTTTGTGTCATTTTAGGCTATTTTCGGGTACCATTTGTCTTTCTTAAAGGTTGCTTAAAGTTATGGTTGTGTCTATTTGTTCAGTTTGTGATATGCTACTTTTATTTAGATTCGCCTTTGGTTTTGATCTGTTCGTATCGGTTAAGACAAAAGTATGTAATATATATTTCTTTATTTTCTAATTAGGGTAAAGACAAAAGTAAGATGTAAAAGACTAAATTACCCTTGGATTTAACTAGGTTAATGGAAAAAATTATTCTCCTCGAAAAAGGAGACTTAATAGATGCAAAAATGCATACCAAAGATACCAAATCTGTATTTATTTTGATTTTGGAAAGTGTAAACCACATTGACCAAATCCGTAATTTACTCTATATATAATATTTGATGCAAACTTTGAATATTAGGAAAATGGTATATAAATTAAAACAGAATGGTATTTGATCCAAGCGCGTTCTCTCTCTCTCTCTCTCTCTCTCTCTATATATATATATATATATATATTATGGATCATATGAGACCAACATGTTTCATTGAGACCACAAATTAAATAATGTTGAACTGTTATGGTAAAATACTGTGAATATACAAAAGCATCAAACTCTCACAATAAAAACATTATGAAAAGTACCTTCACAGTGTTTTTACTGTGGAAGTTCAATATGTTTTTATGTATTTATAATGGGTCACGTAAAAACAGGTCGGTTTTACACGAAAACCAAAAACCTAATCATATATATATATAAGAGAAGTTATATTTGATTTCCATTGTATATACATAAAAAAGATAGAAAGATGGGATGGTTTGAAAATGATGCGACATGAAACACGATAAACAGTTTTTTTAGTTTTTTCCATGTCTTTTTGGGAGCAAAGTGGAACAAAACATAAACCATATACATTATAATATACACCACTTCACCAAATCTCCCCTTAAAACCAATATATATATATATATATATATATATATATATATATATATATAGG